TATCGCTACACTGCAGCCGAAATTTACTACGTCACGGTAGAAAAATGTCTTCTTCTCGGATGACGGTATAAAGTGTATACGAATAGCTCGAAACAAAGTGGAATATCTCATCGTGTTCTCCTTTGTTCCTTGCTGCTTCAAAACTTTCAACTTTCTTCTTGTCACTCATCCGGTTAAATTAGTGCCGAACAATGACGTAGACGATCATCGGCTTTGATGATTTGTTACATTGGGATGCATGGCCAGAGAAAGTTTCGAAAACTATTTGATGCTATGCAAAAAATGATGGGAGATTCCATCGATATAAATTTTGGTATAAATTTCTAAATTTTGCAAGAGGTACAGATCTATGTACGTGTGCATAAAATGTACACAATAATACCGCTGGTGGAAGGTATACATAGATATGGACGAGAACAATGTGCACAATTATTTTGGTTAGCTCTCATTCTATGTTTCTACCAGTACATACATGGTTTCTAGTTTCTGCACGGTTTCTACAAACACACTGTCGCTGTCCCTATTTTATGGAATGTTGCAGGTTTTCTTTAATATTCTCAACAAAAGCGAGACAGGAGACAGTTGACTGATCAAAGAAAGTTGGGCCTTCATCTTCATCATCCACTCCAATCACTCCCTCCCTCGGTTAAGCCCATGTACGTATATATGTGTATGTATATACGAGCTGATAATGTGCTCTCAGCCATCAACTTTAGCGTCAACCCACATTCTCATCCACATCATGGACGGGTGGATGGATGGACACGATTTCAATAGCAGTGCCAAGCCAATTTCCCATATAAACTTGCCAATTTACCACCTCGAGGAAAGTGCCTACGTATACACTTGAAAGCTCTAATAAAGGCCTTCTTGTGATGTGGCGTACTCATGCCATTTCTCTGATGGATGATTAGTCCTGTATGCAATCGGACCCAAGTACTTCGTTTTCATGTGGATGATGATATTTCCTGCATGGAGTTTCTCCTACTCATACATCGGTACAAATGTACAAACCGCTGACAAGATATACATACTCCGCATTTTGTGAATTTTGTCCAATCAATCAGCCATGTTTATTGGTTGTTGTTGTTACTCGCTGTTTTCTGGTGGAAATTAATTGCTCGCGGCGTCTCCCGTACATGGGAAGCAACATTCCATCTCATGCACTTCCCATCAAAAACATCAGGTTACATACATGATGGCAGGATGTCATATCCGCTCACCATTGGGTTCCACTCGTATATAGCGACTCGAATTTCTGTCCAAATGTTTGTCCACGGTTTACTAAATTTAAAAACATTCCGCCATCTTTTTCTTTCAACTTTGACTTTGTAGTTCTTGATTGGAGTTGTTTTGATATTTGCTCGGATTGATACAGCCAACAGAAGGACGGAATTCAGGGTTATGGCGTTGTTATTGTTGCCATTTGGCAATTATTTTTCAGTGTAGTACCAGTTCTGCGAAGTTTATATTCATGGCTACATGCATGAGAGATTCATCTTTCCTGAATAACACGAGGAATTGATTTTTAGAGAGTTTAGTTTAGTTTAAAAAAAGAAGATATTCCTGACGTATCTAATACGCATGTAAATAAAGCTCAAGTAAGTTAACTGAAATTTAGACGATTTTATGAAAAATTCAATTGAGATTCAAGAAAAGAATGTATACTTTTAATATGAGAAAATAATAAGCGTAATTCTCGTCTGTTGCTTGCTGCATGTAATTCCACTTCCAGTTTTGAATGGCTATTGTTCGAGTGAAAGTAGATCAAACTATTTCAGGTAGTACATATTGCACAAAGTTATACGTGCCATACGACTGCAAGGGAACAATAGTTTTGAACAAGAGATTCAAACTTGAATTCAATTTATCGCATTCTCACAGAAGTCAGCCAGACAAGCAAGAGTTTGTGAATGAATATCCTCAACAATGATAACAGCAGTCATGCTGCTGTGCAATAACCCAAGCGCAAACGCTTAAATGACACAGGGCGAGTCGCTGAGGAATGATGTAGACGAACGGAGAATGGCTTATCTTCTGTCATCTTTCACCGTTATCAGTTGACAGTCAACAGAACTTTTGATTTAGGGAGAAGTAAGGACCCGAGGAATTTGTTCCTGGCCAACGAATGAACGAGAGAGGAGAATGTTGGCCAACAGAATCGGGAGATAATCCGAGCAGAAGGTTTCGTAGAAAATTTAGTGTAATTTAAAATAGTGGATTTTATCCACTATTTTCTTGATTGGAATAACCAGTTTGGAAGTATCTAATAAATCACATCTATTTCCTGTCAAAGACTAATGAACTAACCCGTCGTTTAGTAAATATCCGTATGAACGGGTGTAATATGTGTGCAGCTAGGTATATTCAACCTCTGCTCTGTAAATATTTTAGCTAATTAGCACTATTTGCTAACGATGAAGCAGCACAAAATCAAAGCTCAATCACAGAACTGCAATTTACTTAAATTTGATATAAGGTTTGTATGTTTAATCCGCAGAGAAATTGAGTTTACTTTTCATCACGATATATAATTTTTCGCTAAAGTGTGATTCTATAATTACTTGACATGGATCTCAACACTTCTTTACAGTTCTGCAGCATAAAGCGTCATAATTGAACCATGGACCTCGTCGGAAAAACTTTCGACTGGATTTCTTGGAAATGCTTTCATTGTTTGCAATGTGCTTGTTTTCTCCTCTGGCTGGTAGGCTTGCTGGATCAGTCTCATTACAATCATCGCCTTATTCACCCTGATTTCTTTTATTTCTTTTGTACAGCTTTACTTTTTTCATCAAGGAAAGATATCCAACACAACTCTCATTAATATTGCCCAAAGCCAGCAAGACACCGACTTCCAACTATCCTCCCAATCGTTTTTTTCCCTTTGTCAATCAACTTTATGCAAATTCTTCATCATATTTGCAAGCTACTAAGCTAGGAAGCAAAACTTGATAAAACAGCTCAATGTGATGGATTTGGGTTCAGTTGTGAAGCGGACTTGGACGTTACTAACATCGAAAGGCTACGAAATTGTGTAACTCAAGCTCACTCAATTAAAAAAACGTCGTATTAGAATTCTTGCTGGCAATCTCTCCCGTCCTAAATTAGAGGTTGATGGATATATTCGTGTACTTGTGTACATCTCACAGCCACTTATTCCACCTTCGTCATTGGAAAATTATCTCTGAGGTACGCTGGATGTAGGTATCACCATTTCACATGCCATGGTGGGTATATGTATGTACGTGTACTCGTTAGTGTGACGTCCAAGAAAAAGAGTGCATCCACGAGATAAATTGCCGTAGTGGTGGATTGGTGGTTGAGGAGAAGGGAAATTCCACCTTGGTTAACACTTCATCAACCCATCACGCCATATATCAACATCAAAAACGCAAGGCCATGCGGAGAAAGTGATAGCGGCTGAGGGACGGAAGACGTATGTGTTTCCAATCCACTTTTCCTTGTAACTCATCGCGAGTAATATCATCGGGAGTAATAATAAGCTTCACAGATAGGTCAGAGCTGATGTGTATGCCTTCCGTGAGTGACATCATATTGCATGTTGTGTGCTGAAGGATTGAGTGTAGCAGAGTGTGACGGTTCGTTAACTTGGTTAATTTAATCAGGAGAAAGTATGTACCTCCACAATTTCACATGTTCTGCTCATCTCATGCAACATTCTTGACGGCTACTACGTTTCCCCCCAAGCCAAGGCAGCCAGCGGCTTTTCTTGAGAAGAATGTGAGTGAGTGGGGATTCATTTGAAGGGTGGCAGGCAGGGAGGGAGAAGGTCGATACACGGTGCCAAGACAAGCGCACAGGTGGTTTTGTTGCCTGCTTTTCCTCAGAAGTTTACTTACCGAGACTCCCATTCTTCCCAGCACTCACGCCGCTCCTCCCGCTTCCACCATCCGTGAAAGCACCAGCTCTCTCTCTCTCGCCCGACGTGTGTGTCTCGACGGCCAAAGTTTGCACAAACCAAATTGTGAGATGGATGTATATGCACACAATTGAAACATCCATTAGTTCAAGCGACCGTATAGCATTATCCATCCATCCACATTTGTACCAAAAAATAGGAGCCAAAGGTTATCTGCATATAGACGAATGCATGTACGTAGGCTTGGGGGAAGGTGATGCTGTTGAGTCCCTTCTCCTTTGGGCATAGTTCCTCGTTACCTTCCAACAATAAGTAAACTGGGAACGATGCTGGTGAGTGAACGGGTTAGTTAAGTGAACTCCGGAATAAGGTCGTCTTATTGCCTCTCTTTCTCTCTCTCTCCAGTTACGTACACATTTGTGCGCTAAGCCTTGGATTTGTATTCAGTTGTAGATGCAGATCCCAGAAACGATCACAGTTTGGCTTTGGTTGGCTGTTGTTTCAAGTAGTACAAGAGTTTGTCATTGGATTGGATTTGTTTTGAGCTTGGCCCTTTAATGCGAACGGGAAGAGAGAGAGAAAGCAGGTGGTTGAGAGAGAGCAAGCACGGAGGGGATTTATATTCCATTCCCTGCTCTTTCTATCTTTTCCAAAACGAGGCAGCCCACCAGGTACACAAAGTTTGGTTTGCTTGCGTATGAACAAAAGTTGGTCGGAGGGAGAATGGCATAGGTGGAGTGGGATGGGATGGTGAAAGCAGGAGCAGGCAAGGCGGAATACGAGCCCCGTCCGTGTGTGTGCTGAAACACATCATCATCGTCATCATCATCATCATCATGCTCATCATAAGAGAGGGAGGAAGGAACTGAACTCAGTCTCAACCGCGAACGAACCACTTGGTCGTCGTCGTCGTCGTCGTCGACTCCTCTGCAACAGCAACACCAGGGCCACCACTGCTACCTCCACCGCTTCTTCTTCTCCCACCTTCCTCCTCTGACGCTCTGGTTCGTTTAGTTTGGACGGAGAGGTGAGGCAGGACGACGACGAATCAGGCAAACTTACCCTTACTTTCACCGTCTCCAGGCAGTGCGGCGTGTCTTTTCTCCCCACCACCTCCTGCCTACCACACCGCGTTGGATGGGGTCTCCGTTCATAAAATAATTCCCATTCTGTGAACGGAGAAAAGTTCTATAGACCACTTGGTCACATTCAGCCATCCATCCATTCACTAACCACCAGAGAGCTGATTGTCTACGTATCTGCATCCACCTACCTACCTGCCTGCTTCTCGTGGTGTGGTGTGGCTACTGTATGCGCTGGTGCTCATTGTCTCATTCGGCTCAGGTTGGTTTGCTGGCTGGCTAGTCGGTGGGTGATGTGGGCAAAAGGCACTTTATGTCTGTCTGGAGAAAAGGTCTGAAACCAACCACCAGTTGATCTGCTCCTTTGGAGAATTGGGCTATCTCTCAACTCTACTGGGACAAGAAGACAAGAGCGGAGAAAGTCAAGCCGACGAAGAAGAAGAAGAGGAGCTGGAAGGAAGGTAGGACTGGTGGTGGTGGTCGGGAAAGTGGCAATGTCTACATCCTCTCCTCCTCCTCCTTCGTCTTCATCTCTGCTACTGCCTGGCGGTGAGGAGTGGGATATCGGGAGAGAGAAAGTGGTGGAAAGCGTCCGACATGGAAATAGAGCGTCGTAATATAATATCAGAAAGGATCTGACATGGAGCGATAGGAAACGATACAAGGACGCATTTTCTTCTTCTCTCCACACTAACACCACCACCATCACCATCATACCGCACACACACACGTATACCCTCATGCAGCCAACCACCAGCTTCTTCTTCATCTCTGCTCGTTGGGTGCTGTGAAAGTGACACAGTTTTGAGTCTGGTTTGGCTTCGTATATTTAACTCGCGAGGAGTGATCTCTTGCCCTCATTCCCTCATTGTAAATAGAATCGTGACTAGAGAGCGAGGCGCATAGGAAACCAAACAACTTTACACGCGAGAACTGCTCCCACCGCCACAATGTAGACAACTACGGCTGCCTTAATAAAAAGTTTGCCACGACTTCAATCGACCATAAAAATTGAACTTGAACTTTCACCTGTTTTCACTTTTTGGCACTTTTCCTGCTCCTCTGCTCTTGCTTCACTCTTGGCTGCACACACAACAAGACGACAAGCCTCCTCATCATCAAATACTTTGTAGTGCTGCCCGAACTGGAGGATTCAGCCAAGCAGCCAGCCTTCTCACTCCCGTTCTCACCGGAGAGCCAGTCCAGCAAGGAATATACAAGTAGGACCTTTCTCAAATGTCTATAATTTCCCCATCTCACTTCTTCTTACAGAGATCAAAGTGTCCGATCCAATCAGTTCAGTATTAATAGACACACTTACTTCTCACTAACTCTCTTCGCTCACCCTGTTGCCAACTTTGCCCAAGTTTCCTGAGCCCTTAACACCACTGCTGTTCTGGAGGTACGCCAGCTAAAATCACCCTTTCTTTCATCTTTCACCAGGGCACCCTTCCACCCAACGACGACCACCACCTCTTTCTTATCCTTTCGCTTCTCCCATTCTTACATCTCCTAATAAGCCACTCCACTCGAAAAAAAATCTCTATTCTTTCCACATACGAGCATTCTGGCCACCTTTTATTTCCGAGTGCTAATGCATTCCAAAAGTGAAGCCAACCTCTCAAAAGGAAATAATAACTCTTTCCACATTTCAATTTTACGTAAAGTCGAGTCAGGTTTCTCAGAAATTGCATTGTGCGCTTAACATAGATTTTTTCATTAATGCTGGAACTTTTATTAAACTTTGTCTTATTATTAAGGTGACTGACTTTGGAAATAATTTGATCCTGCTAGCGTAGAGTTATTGTAAGTCAGATTCTTTTCACGTGTGAACAAACGAGACGAGGTATGAAATCATCATCCTTGTGGAGCTTCTTTTGTGAGAGAAAGTCGAGCGTGTGTTAAAACAACACTTCTTTTGTTCTCCACTTTTAACAAGGTGATTCTTTCAAGTCTGGTCTCATTCAGATTGATAGTCCGTAAATGCACCCACTTCTCATGCACAATGATATTATTATGCGTACAACTCCGCCCCTCTCCTTTTATGATTCATTACCATCGCTCATGAATAATAAAGCAACTCTGATAATGGCATTAGTCTGCATTTTGCATCAGAAAGTGAACATATTTTCACTTGGTGTTGGTAATCTGCTTCCGTAGTCAATTTCCCAGGTGCTCGAGATTTATACCACTGTGGCTAAATGTTCTTTGTGTTTTGTTATTTGATTAACCAGTCTGCTGCACTCCATTTTCCACGGCTTCCGCTCCATGCAACCATCTCCCACCATCTTAAATGCTGGCGTCTTAATTAAACTTGGACACAAATAAATTGATCTCATTTGTTTCTCTATCGGTGGTATGCAAAAGGAGGAAGATATGCCGAGGAAGATATGCCAGCCAAGTGGTCCACAGTTTCAAGTCGCAGGTGAAGTTGAGTAAAATGAGAATTGCTTGAGGATAAAACCCCAACTGGGACCAACACACGGAGCGAACAGACCAAGTAATTGTTGACCCAGAGACCAAGAAGTGAAAGAGCAGCAACCACAATCATATCACAACTTTCCCCATTGCTGCCAAACCCACGGTTGAAATTTCTCAAGTTCTTTCACATCACGACGAATTCGAAGACAAAAAGTAAAGAGGAATTCATTCCGCCCCATTACTTTCACTATTACGACCCTAAACCATTCCACCAGCCACCTTTGTTCCATTTGTACGACCGACACACTCCCACCTTGTCAGCAGTGCGGAGAAGGAAGGAAATCTCGACTCGACTAGTGCTAGCGACGACCCATCAAAGTTTTGTTAAACGAACAAACGAACGGAAGGAGAAGACAGACGTGACCAACAACTTCATTCCCAGCAGGGCACTAAATATATAGTATGCACTGTTGCTCCTTCCTGCCTCACTTGGACTCGTGTTCCATGTGCCAAATATGCAGTAGGAGGGTGGGCTTTTTGCGAATTAAGTGTTCTGATTTAATGGTGGGTGAGTGTACATAATGGACAAATACGAGATATGGACGTATAATCAAATGTTCACCTCACGATTGCAATAATTGTTGCTTTCATGCTGCAGAGTCAATTGTTACAATTACTTTGGCAGAAAGAATGACTTAGAACATACACTTGAGACTATTTTATACATTTAATTAATGAGTGCTGCTTACTTACCCTGTGCACTTGAATAGTTACAAAACTCTGGCCCACACATGGTGGGACTTTGTGAAGAAGCAAAGGATTAGCAACAAAAAATAATCATGGGAACGAATTTCAACAGCAGAAGAATGTCCTTGGCTGCAGCCCGAGCTTGCAGTGTGCTGCAAGACAAGGGGACCGACTACGACCAAGAAGATAATATGAGAGTAAGTGATTATTATTGAGCATGCTGCTATGTACATGGCGACTAATTCAAAACAGATGTACATGCGTGTGTATGGCATGAAAAAATTTATTGAGTATTACAGGCTACATGATTTACAGTTGTTGTAACTTAACACGAAACAGAAACATGCTTCAGACATATGTAAATAGTTTGCAGGTCTGGTCGGGCTGCTGTTTATTAGATTCCCTGTAAAGCACTTTTATCAATCACTACCAAATTCTTAAATTTGGGCGACCCATAAAATTTATTGCTTCATTTTCACCCCCTTCTTCCTTGAGAGTTGGGTAGTACACGAATTTTCCTCCATTCTTCAGCAATGGTGTGTTTTTCACCCAGCCGATAAAATTGTTTACATACCCACACTTCCCAAGGAAAGTTAAATGCAAATTGTTGAGTTTATGCCAACCAATAATTTTCTCAAGAAACGACACAAAGATTACGACTCTGTCCTCTCAACCACGAGTAAAATTTGTAGCGTTACATACATATACATACGACATTGAATGTTCGGGGACGAAGCAAACACATAAATGACAATATATGTAAGGCGACAGCGATGCAGCCGTGTGGCGTCGTAGTGGTGGCGTTTATTGTGCTCACACTAAACCACTAATTTCCATTTCCATTAAGAAAATTGAAAGCAACCACCGTTCGTATCACCGTCCGCATCTTTCCTCATCCTCACCTATGTATGTATACACATAAGTAAATACATGCCGCATGCACACGTCCGTCCTCTCAGACCACGCAATTAAACGTGTATTACGCCACACAGAGTTGTCGGACATGAATGCAGTACGTACAACTTGAGGTCTCCGTGCCTTAATGCTTTCCGAGGTGATATAATCAACAGCTCCTGTCCCCCTGCATGAACCTTCTGAGCCGTCTTGTGGGTCGATTTGCATGTGCGGTTGTCTAGAGTGGTGAAAGTGAAAATGGGCAGACAGACAGTTTAGCACTTGTGCAACCCATCATATGCTCAATCAGGCCTCCGTCCACCCATTGTGGTGGGCATGCATGCGAACATACGTAGGAAGCACCAGTGAAAGCAGAAGGATGACAATGTGTGCAGCCAATGTCTCATAAAACGCTTAATCGCCCTTGGTTAATTATAGAATTACAATACATGTTTGGTGACTATTTCATTTTATTTCCACACATTTATTTCATTAGAACCAATTTATGGAATGAAAATAGACCATTTACTTACTTAGGAGGGGAGGTTGTGTACTATCAACTCCCGGATTTCGATGCCCTTTGGATATGTTGTAGTGTCCCATGAATGTACAACAACCCTGAAGTGGTTTGATGCCATGGCCACATTTGCTCCCGCCACACCCACTCAAAGATGCCCAAAAATCGCTTTCACTCCAGCTTTCACTCATTCAAATCCTCGCCAAAAATCCAATTTTACTCCGATTTTGAAATTTCTTTCACCATTATACTCCCAGATAGTTGCTCTCTTATATCCAACATCAAGCTCAACTTTTTTGATGATTATTTCGCAGCCATAATTTGCTTTGTTGACTACCACAACAATGCTAATTCAGAATTTTTAATTTTTAAAATACTAAAAATTTCAAACAGTTGAATTTGATGTTGGATATAAGAGAGCAACTATCTGGGAGTATAATGGTGAAAGAAATTTCAAAATCGGAGTAAAATTGGATTTTTGGCGAGGATTTGAATGAGTGAAAGCTGGAGTGAAAGCGATTTTTGGGCATCTTTGAGTGGGTGTGGCGGGAGCAAATGTGGCCATGGCATCAAACCACTTCAGGGTTGTTGTACATTCATGGGACACTACAACATATCCAAAGGGCATCGAAATCCGGGAGTTGATAGTACACAACCTCCCCTCCTTAGTGCGATATATAAATAGGTTTCAATGAGTGCAAAACTTTGTGACGCAAATTCTGCTATTTTATTTTAATAACGTATACACCACAAATACAAAGAGCTTTTGCGATCTAACGCTTGTTGGAATTAGCGTAGAAAATTTTATTACATATAACATAGCCAAATTTTTTGCGAAAATTAACTACACACAAATAAACCTGCATTACCAATGACTTTGATAATACAATAAAATTCAACTTAAGATTTAATTTAAGGTTTTTAGTAGCTGCGTGTTCATCCTAAATATTAGTGTGATTCTGCTGGAGGTAAAATGAGTTTGGAGAAAGCAAGGGGATCTTATTTTAAGCAACCCTGATACTTTCTTGCAGTAGTGCATGCAAGTGTACACACAGACGTATACATATATGTATGGAAGGCAGTAGTACATATGTACACATGTATAGGCACATAATCTCGGTCGTTCGATAGCGTTCTGTGTTGGATTCACTGCACAACTTTCATCTCATCAGAGTCTAGATTATAGTTTGTATTGAATCGAATCCATCCCTGAGGACAAATCGCACAAACATTAGTTCAGGGAGGACGCATGAAGGAATTTGGTGGTGACGAATGATTGAAAGCTGTTCAGAGTAAACTTCTCAGTAAATATCCATGAACGAACTCGTAAATAATTTTGCAGACGAGACTGTCAAACATCAGTCTTGAAATTCATATCGCAAGGTTCACAAATACATAATTGCAGTGAAAATATTGCGAATGAACGTTGGTAAACAGCTGCCGGACATCTAAATCTTGATCCGATAATCCAATATCAGGATGATTTATTTATTTGGCATATTTGAGTTTGATTTACTCTGGCAAACATTTTCCATTAATTTCAAAACTTTTACCCCTCCAAAATTATGATTCTAAAATCTAATGATTTTTCTGGAAATATTGGATTTCCCTCAAGTGAACCTGTGTGAGCACCAAATATTCTTTAGTTGTATGTATACATATGTTCATAACAAGGTAATTGTGGCTACACAAATTGTTGATTTTGTCGATTTAGCAATAGATTGAGTGGACTAAATGAAATATGAAATGGGAAAACAGGAAGATATTTTCAACTCTTAGCATCTCATATGCATGAGGAAGAAGCAAGACTATTGGTACTTCGTCAGTATCAATGGTGCAAAATTTGCGAATCTTATAACCTTGATACCGACCAACAAACTCGGCACAAAACTCCAACGAGGAGAGTTTTAGCATCAACAAGTCGGTTAGTACTGCTGGTAGGATATAAGCCCCTGGGGAATTACATACACCGTTCCTTCCGTCCGACGCATTCTTCCCCCAAATTTTACTACGAACCTAGTTTTGTTTGTGAAATTCCTCGGGATATCCATCTGGAAGGGAAGAAAGTACACGGATTGTTGCTGCAAATAGGGAAGTACAAATGCAATTGGGAAAGCAAAGTTAGTTGTTTCCACCCACACATCCACTCCTCGCTGCAAGCCACCAATTCGGCTTGCTTTCCTTCCTCCCTTACGAGCAATGTATAATTTCCCTGGGGTACTCGTTTTGCACGTTAAGCTAGTGCAAAATAGGGAGGAGACGTCAACGCTGACTATTTCTGGTTTAGCAGTAGAGCCACTTGCCTTGCAGCATATATGTAGGAAGTCAACGGAAGTAAACACAAGGGAGTGGAGATTTGCACTTCCGAAAATCGGGGGCTTTTTGCTATTAAAGCAATGAGTGGGAACCTTCTTCCTCGTCTATAACCTATATAAGTTATCAGCTAAAGACCTTGGGGAGGTTGTCTTCTCTCTCTTTCTGATGCTGCTTTTGCTTTGCTGGTTCATAGTTCATACATTCCCATTACTCATCACTGGTAGACAGAAGTCAAGAAGATCCGAGAAAGACCAGCAAGACTGACACACGATGATTCGAGTACAAAGCAACCCGAACCAGCGTTATGCTTTACTTTGAAAGCCTTATGAGAACACTTGGAGAATGGAAACTTGGTTTAGTTTTAGTCCGTCTTTCTTCTGCTCCAAAGTTGACTTTATCATCACATCCTCCACGTCCTGTTCATTTTCCACTTGGTTCTCTCACCCACCCACCCGTCCAGTCTCAGCCTCCTTTCTCAAGTGTGCCCTGCATTTTCCACACTATTCTGCAAGCAGATTTTTGTGAGGTTCGTCCAATCCATGGAAAACACATAATTGATTGTTTTCAGTTTTTTGTCACACTAACTTCAACAGCTGGGGCGAATTCGCATCAGAACAAGCAACCAGCATATCGTCTGAACCATCTAATCGAGGACTTTCACTGTGGAGAAAGCTTAATAGCATTCTGTAACATTTTCCTGTCCAGTGATGGTGGTGCAAGACGAGTGCTGATAAGCCAAAAGCAACGAAGGTAAAGATCATACCTGAGAGAAAGTTGCAATTATCTCGTCCATCTGGGGCTGTGAAGTGAAAAAGCAAACATTTTGTGGTGAAAGGTCGAAACATTAATGTGAAACCAACATCTGCCCTTATCCACAATCCATTGTTCACATAAGCGAGTAAGTATGGTTTGGTCATAGATTATTTTAGCAGGAAATTGGGTCAAGGTCTACTTACTTACCCGACCAAGCACACACACCCATCATCCTCATACACAATACCCTTCAACTATTATTTTGAAGTAGAAATTCAATAACGTACACATACACCTGGTTTAAAATTGTTCAAGAATGATGCATTTCGGATAACTTATTGTTCGTTTTTACAGACGGCTGGGACAGGTATTGGGACTGGTCCTGGGCCGGGTATTAGAACAGATTTTCGACGATTGTCGCAGTTTTCCAAAGGCGGAAGTTACGGCTGTGGATACAACCCGAGGTAAGTAGCAGTATGTAGACGAGCCGACAGAACATTGCGATGCAGTGATATGTATCAAAGGGTGTAAAATAGTACTCATACGATTGATTAATTTTGCAGGTATCTCTCAAGGGGAGGGACGCGACATCCCCATTCCTACTCTTTACAACAGTGAGACTCACAAGTGCCTTCATTACTTCTCTCTTCTCTGTCCCTTTCTCTTTCTAATTAATCAAACGACGCCTCTCTCTTTGTCTCTGGTTGACCCAAATCACCAGAGATGCGTAGAGAGCTTGGCACAGCATATTCATTTTCAGCACACATCTTGAAGCTGTCACATATAGATAAGCATCCATCCATATGCCACACGCATAAATACGTACGTAGGTACAGTTTATAGCTCGTAGGTACAATCAATCTGAGAAATGAGGTAATTTATACTTCGGATATTTACAAATATATATATCTTATGCACGCATATTCTTGGTGGCATCAAAACCTCAAATATTCCAAAACCAGAAACTTAGTAAATCTATTGCTAATAAAGGAGTGATTCCCTAAATCTATGTGAATGAATATACGTCTTATGGTCTACCCATCTGCGGGCTCGCTAGCTGGGAAGCTCCTTAGAATCCTACTTTTTGGGAGGGAAAAGTAAAGAAAGTAAAAAAAAGTCGCATGATACATGAAGGGTTAATTTAATTGAGTGTGACCAGGCAAGGTTCATGGTTGGATAAGTTTGGGATAAAGTTTGCCTCCAACTCTAATTCCTCTGCGATAGGGGAAGGTGGGTTGCTTCCGTTGCTCAAAGGTGTCCAAGATCTTTTCGCTATTTGGAATCTCAGTTGCGTACGATGTACACATTCTGCGTTCATGGCAATCAGTAATAAAAATGTGCTGAATTGTCCTCTCGAGTAATATGATATGATTTGATAGGCAGAACACCGCGACCTCGCATTCTTGACTGTATAACCTGAGCGTGAAAGAAAAGTTCTAAAAATAGTCCAAAAAGAAGTGGTTTCTAAATTGTAAGGTTCTTTTTTGTAGAAATTATTACCTTTTTTGTAGTTAGTATCAAGGCAAATGAAATCAATATTGGTTAGGCTAAAAATTGTCGTACTCAAATTAAAGGTGAACAGGCTACACCAGTTTCATATTTGTTAAAATTTGCGTCATTACTTTATGTTAAGTTATTTTAAATAAATTGGGATTAAAATTAAGAAAATAGTATCGTATTTCATGGAAGTGACCCGAGATCAATAATTTAAAAAAATAACCGTCAATACATCGTTATTTTTATGAAATCGTATTGAGAAGAGCCCATGTCTCTCAATTTTGGTAATTTTTGCATACATATGTAGTAAGTGAATGCACTAAAACATTAAAGTTGACTTCTACGTCCACCATACCCATCCAAATGACAGAAATCGTAGAAAATCATTTCTAACTCAAGTGTTACAAATTCATTACAAATCAAAGGCTGATAGTGATATATTTTTATACGTTCAAATTTTTTATCATATATTGATAGTTAATCTGTTCATTTACCTCAGATAGTTTTACAAGTGTAAGAACCTACAGTGCATTGTTGATCTAGCCCGAGTTAGGGTTAGAGGTTGATTCTAATGGTCATATTAACAATATTAATTTTTAGCCCGAGTCAGGGCTTATGGAACCGTCATGTCCGTCCGTCTGTCTGTCTGTCCGGCACGATAGAGCCAAAACGGCTGAACCGATTGACTTGAAATTTTTACTATGTCCATATTTGACAAAGTTAGGAAACGAGTTCGAAGATGGGCGAAATCGGTCAAGTGGTTGACCGGTGGGGGTCATCGGAGTGGGTGGGGTATTATGCACCAAAATTTCAAAATTGTCGTAGAAAGCTGAAATTTGGTACAGAGGTTGCTAATGGCTCCTAATAGAAAAAAATAACTTCAGGTTGGAAAAATTTTCATCTTGAGATACCCTAGGGGGTGACCCATACGGATTTTTCAAAATCGTCATATCAAGCTGAAATTTGGTACACGGGTTGTGTGTAGGTCTTAATGGAAGAATATGAAATGAAATTGGTAAAATTTTTATCTGGAGCGACCCTATGGGGTGACCCATACCGATATAGAAAGTGGTTTAAAAAGATGAAATCCAACACGGTGATACCGTGTTGGCTTCGCATGAAATAATATGAAGTTCAAAGTTTGCAAAATGCAACCAGAGTGATCCTGGGGGATCCATACCGTTTTAAAAAGTTGTTATTTTCGTCTGAAATTTGGTATGAAGACCAAAAACCACTTCTGGACTATATGCAGCTTTAGTATGTAGGTCAATTGAGATAAGAATTTAGAAGAGGACTCGGACGTATCGAGTCACGGACTCTGTCCCTGACTCGGGCTATATGGAATCTGCACTGTAGGTTTTTATAAAATGACTCAATTATATACTATTAATAGTAATAACTACTAAAAATGTTCCCATCATGTATAACTCTAGGGTTTTCGAGCAATATGGGTTCCTCTCACAAAAATATTCAAAAATTTGACTTCATATTCTTTAGTCTGATGTGTCCTGAGCCTTGATACCGAATTTCATCATTCTTCTACCAATTTCAAAAGGCAATGCAGGTCACTCGTTTAAGTCCCCCTGGCAAAAGTCTTAAAAGCCATATCATTTGTAAATCCCTTCAGCTTCATGCAAAATTGCAGGTTTCTGTGATTGTTTTGAGACAATCTTACTAGGTCATTCTAAATAATAATTCGGTCGTTGTGATATTGTATTTTCACTTTAGTACGCAACTATGACCAATGCCCCGAAAAATATCAGCCTTCTATCGACCATTCCAAATGACCCCACCCGACCTATATGATCCCCACCAGGCAACCACGTACCTGATCTTGCCCTTCGCCGATTTCGTATGTGTATCAATCAGTGTGCTCCAATTTTCAAGTTAATTGGGTTAAATTTTACAGGCATAAACAGACTTATTTAATTGTCGATTATTTCCAGAATTTTCTGTTTTGTCATCATGCCATAAATAAATGGTCAGAATGCTTAAAAGGAATACAAACGAAGCATACAAAATCTTTATACTTATTTTTTAAAGAAATATGTTTATAGAGATGCCTGGATTTTTTAGAAAATTTATTTTATTTTCTACGTTACATATTTTCTGAGAAAAAATGGTTTCATCCGTTGACAGAAACCCAGTCAGTTCTGTACACAATGGACCATCAAAGTTGCAAAAAGTTATTCCTAGCTTAATTGCGCGTCACATTATGTTGAAATCATCCACGTTAGCTGGAGGATCTTGTGAAAACTATCTCGAATAAATATTTTGCAAAGTTTTATTACAAGAAAAGCAGAAAAGCAAACAGTGTATTCTGCGTCTCTTTAACAAGTGACACAACAACTTTATTTTCTATGCAAGTGACCTGGTTTAGAAAAACTTTTGCAACCAAATGGGCGTGCCTAATGTGCTCAAAGGTAAAGTGAGTGTCTGCACGAGGGAAGTAGTTTTGTGCTTTGCTGCTGCTGCTGTACTTTCTCCGATCTCTCTGTGGGCATAGGCAAAGGAGTGTTATTCACATTGTTTTGGCTCTGTGCTAACATATCAGATACACACACGCCATGTAGACACACACATTAGGAATAGATCAAATTTTAGACGAAATTGACTTCATTTACATGTTTTCCTTTGTTTTCCTTTCCTATCTTTACAACATGCTGCCCGTTGCACGCTCAACCGAGTTCTGGATGAAATGAAAGTTAACGGATCACTGCTTTGCCAGTGGTTCTCCTTGACTGTCCCATCGCTATCAGGCAGCGCTTAATTTGCTGACTAGACTTGCTATAGAACGCTCGCTGTATGATTGGTCTGGAGAAAGGAGAGTCGTCGTTTCCATATTTCTTGCTGGGAAATCACAATTCGGTTTCACAGTTTTCTCTAAAATTCAATAAATATAAATGGGATGAGGTGCTCAATGCGAAGTAATAACAGAGGTATCCGTGTGTGCACACATTATTGGAAACATTTTTCCGTTTTCCTATCCCAGGTAAACAGTGAAATCCGGGGGATTGGATTGCGATACAACACAATAGAGTCACACAATGGATAAAGTGGATATTTACTTGTGTGAAGTAGGAATTATGTCGTATTTGCTCTGTCCTCCTCCTCTGCTTCTGTTCGCGGTGGGAACACGAATTGGATTTGGAATTGAAGGAGAGAGTTTCGCCTACATTGAAAAGAGAAAGCGACGACCAAATGCGTCACAGAGAGACGTGAAGATCAAAGCCAGAACGATCTCCACTTGTTAATTCATATTTCACAAAGAGTTTCGCCCTTTCCGTTTGTTTTAGGCTTACAGCCAAGAGTGACAAAATAAAACAAAAGAACAAGCATATTGTCACTTTCAAATTAAATATTACTCTCTGCACTATATTTTCATATTGAGCAGTATTGAGAATTTACTAAGAACTTTAAAGTCAAGAAAAGATCATTTCCGATTAATTATCCAGAGTTTTTACATATTCTCGTATCACATGCTCTAAAATTGAGAAACTTCCAATTTTCCTGGTGTCTAATGACTAAGAGAAAAATATGGAATCTATTTTCATTGAAACTAGAGACAGAAATAATCAATCGCGCAATCACGATATTAATAAGTAATTACGGTAAAAAGGGATGAGAGTTCAATTTGGTAGTAAAAAATGAGAAGGTTCGACGTAGGCATTCGATGTGAGTTAGCAGGCGAGATGGATAACCTACATAAATAGGAAAATAAATAGTCCGTCATTCGTTCAGTCTTTGACTTTCGGTTGGATGAAATGGTGGTCGTCTGGAGAAAGGAAACGACCGAATAAGGTCCTAGAAATCTGAGCAGCTCAACCTTAGTCGCTTTTTGATCACAACATTGTGGGTTAACTGGTTTGTATTTATTGTACGGCTGGTGAAGTGAGGCGCCCTGTTGTACGATGACGATGTCTCCGCGTGATTGTATGTTGTGCAAAACGGGAAAGCTCTTTTGTTTTGAGTGTTCTCTCCAAAATTGACTTTCCCTTTTTGCATTCAACTGCTTGAGTGCTGAGATTGCCATTGGTTAAGGTGGCGGCAGGGAAGGAAACTGAATTGAGAAGGGCTTGAAAGGCTTCGCAGGAAGTTTGCACATCTACTTTCTCCG